GGGGTCAGGCTGCACCACCCGGCCCGCGCCAGGCTGAGGCCTGCTCCCCCAACGGGTCGCCTCGCTTTCTTCCGAATGTGGAACTCTCAGACCCTCACTAACGCAGCAGCCTGTGCAAGGCAGCCGTGTGTAAGTCAAGGGGGGCCTGCAAACAAAAGCGAGCTCGTGATTCTGAGATTGCAGTTCCGGTCCAGGTGACGGGGAGAGCGCCCCGACAGCAAACCGCTCTGGGGCTCCTCGGCAGCAGATTCGGGTATGGCTTTCACTAGAGAGAAACGTGGCTGCAGTCGGCCTGGGCGGGCCTCAGTGCTTTCCCTGGAGGTCGGTCGGGGCCTCTGCAACAAGGAACCGTGCCAGTGGGACGAGAGCGAGGTGGCCGGTGGAACCTCCAGGAGAAAGCGTCGCCAGGGCCGTCAGTCGGCGGCGGCCCCAGGACTGCCTGCAGGGGCGCGGGCGCAGGGTGCTTCCCTTAGCTCTGATCTGGGGCAGGAGCGGGGCTGGGGGGCCGCTCTGGGGGCTCTGGGCAGTCACCATTGTTTGAACTCCGAGTCGGCTGAGCGCAGTGCTTACTGCCTACGGACGGGTGCGGAAAGCGCTTGAGTGGGCGGATTCGTGTGGCACAGAGAGTGGGTGTTTTCTACAGAATCCGGGCGAGGCCCCGGCGGGCGCCGAGGGGCTAGCGCCCGTCCTGGGGCAGCAGCTCCCCGGCTCGGCAGCGGGCCTCCAAGGCGCGCTCGGTGTGGAGGTCCTGAGGCAGCTCGGGCTTGCGGCGCAGGAGAGGGCGCTCCTTCTTCGGGTCTTTCTGGGCCTGGAATCACAAAGGGAGCGGGTTGGCTCCGGGCTGAGCCCACGGGGGGGGGGGGGGGGGGGGGGGGGGCACCTGCTTCTGCACTGCAGGCCAAGGGCAGGTGCGGGGGGAGGGGGGCCCACACTCCCAGGCTGCCGGGGGTGGGGGCAGGGCGGCCCACAGCCAGCAGCTGCTGTCCCGGCTCCGGTGGGGAGCGGCGGGGCGGCCCTGAGGGCGCACCGCGTGGGGACTCGGGGTTTCGTGACCTGCTACCAGAGCACCTGTCCGTTACAGAAGCATTTTACAAGCCGGTGGCCGCCTTTGCAGGAAAATGAATGAACAAACAAGAGTTCTAAACTGAATTGAGAGCTTATGAAAAAACCTTAAACTTCTAACAAGTTTGGAAGAAAGATACTTGAATTGAAAGGCATTACGTGGGTCACACGGGCAGGAAAATACTTCTGAACTTATAGAAATAACTGTCGCCCTGAGACGCCTGCCGGGGCGAGCCCGCCCTCGTCGCTGCTCCCACACGCCCGTCAGGCTTAGACTGTGGCTTTACCGACAGAAAATTAAAGGAATGCCATCTTCGCGCGAGGGCTTAGACTCCTCCACAAAGGGGCAAGTGCCGGGTGTGTTGAGGCCGGGCGGCGGCCTGGGGGCACCACAGGCTGGAGGCCGCTCGGTCTTCTCCGGCCCCGTCAGCTCCCGGTGAGACAGGCCAGCACCGGGCAGGACCCGGCGTCAGGCAGCTGTCGCGGTGCGGGGCGAAGCGCACCGGCCTGAGCAAGAATCGGGTGGCTGAAGCCGCACCCGCACGCTGGCATCTTGGCAGAGCCACTGTTTCCTCAGGGTCTGTGCAAATCGTCTATGGAAACAGCCACAGACCAAGGTCACAGAGAGCTCTGCGGACGTCGTTTCAGGGTCACTGCTGGAACGGTGACGTAAACGGCATTCTCTGTTGGCGGTGACGGCAGACATCTTGTCTCCGGCCCCGGGACACGAGGGCTGGATGGCCTCGGGCTGTCTGCGCGGCTGCGCACTGTGCCCTCCCGCGGTGGGGGGCACTCGGAAACCCACCCTGACTGTCCCTTCCGTGTTGAGCGTAAAGATAAAGTGAAGCGAAACAGAACCTGAACTTCCACACACTTGAAGTATTGAATTATGGCCGAACCAGGCACTCCAGAGAGAAGAGAGACTTGAAAAGGCAGCAGCGGCACCCAAGTGTGGCCAGTCAGCGCCAGGGGAGGATCGCAACGGCCAGCCAGGCCTCTGCAGGGCCAGGCAGGCCCCCCCAGGACCAGCCCCGCGGGCGCCAGCTCTGGCCCAGTGGCTGCGCAGCAAAACGTGGGCGCAGGCAGGGGCCGGGGAGACAGGGCGGCACAGACAGGCTCGTGCGATGGTCACCCAAGGGCCAGGCCTGCGGGAGCACGCGGCAGGGAGACGGGCAGACCGGACGGACGGACGGACGGGCAGCGGGCCGGGGTCTGGACTGCGGGGTGCCAGCGGGGGCCGCATGTCAGCAGCAAGTGGGCAGAGGCCGCTGGGTGGGGCCCACCTCACTGGGCATGATTTCACCGTTTAACTTAGGGTAGAACGGATCGGGACTTCTCAAGGGGCCACACGGCTCTGTCCTTACTACCGCAAGCTGGAAAGGAGGACCCGAGGGGCGCCGCGTGGCGCCGGCGGCCGGAGGCCCGGCACGCTGCGCGGGTCAGCAGTACCTGCGCCGCCTCCGTGCGGCTCTACGCCTTCCTTATCTGCGTGCTCGACACTGCTTTTCTCCCGACCGACTGTCAAAACGAGAATTGCAAACATTTTAAACGTCTCCGACGTAAACGGCATTCCCATGAAATTTACTCGCTTTCTTCAGACGCTCTGTGGAGGCGAGGCAAGTGTCTCGGGGGGACTCAAGGCCCGCGTGGGCTTGAAACTTCGGCACAAACCCCAGCCGGCTCCGCTCCCCAGCAGCAGCCCCGCCCGACGCTCGCCGCGCTCAGAGTGGGATCATCGGGGAAAGTAAAGTGGGCTGAGAGTAAATTTAAGAAATTAAGCCCCTCACACTGCTAAATGTGGGGAAAAAAGCTGAACTTCAGCTCTAACTTGGGTCAGTCTGGTGCCCAAATCACTCTCCTGAGTTTCCCCACCCCCGGGCGCCCCCTTCTGCAGGAGACGTTCGGGGAACTTCGGACTGCGACCCAGAACCCGGCGGAGCGGCCGGCGGTCGGAGCACGCGAGCCGGGCACCGGGGCTGTGCTGGCCACGTTTCAGCGGCTTCACAGAAACCTCGATGCCGCCTTAGAGCCAGACACTGTTAGCTTCCCGCCTTCATTGCTTCTCAGTTGTTTTGTTATTCCAGGTCTCCTGCATCTTCGATTCCAGATGGATGCGTTTGTCAACTTATTTTTAAGGAGCTTGCTGGGGTTCTGACGGAGGCGGCTCTGGGCAGAACCTGTCTCTTAATGGCACCAAGTCTGTGGCCCTGGAATTCGATCTAGACGAATGTAAAACTCGGGGTGAATGGTACAGAAAGCTCGGTCCTGTGGTCGAACTTCAAGGTCACAGAATCAAACGGCAAGTGGGGAGCCCCCCTCCTGGCCTTCGCTGCATCCCAGTGACCCCTCAGCAGAGGCCCTCTGGGGCATGGGGGTCAGCTTGTGGGGTCCTGGCTGGAGTCCCCCAAGGCTGCCCCATTCTGGTCTGCTCCCGGCTCCCTGAAGACTCACCACACACCAGCCCCCGGGGAGTGATGCCCAGTGCCCGGACGCGCCGGAAAGCACAGTCCTGTGGCCTGAGGAGACCCGAGTGGCGCAAGCACCTGGCAACCACTGCTCCCGAATCCACAATGAAGATGTAGCTAGAGGTGGTTGCGTCTGGGTCTGAGCCTGGGGCTCCCGAGAGCTGTGCCACCATCTAGCGTGGCCACTGCGGCCTGTGGCCACCGCTGGGCGACACCACCACGAGGGTTCAGACGCCTGACACCTGGGTCGGGGGGTGGAACTGACTTGAATTAAAAATAAATAGCCCCCCACCCCCCCGCGCCCCAGACTGAGCCATCAGGCCGCCAGCTGGTGCGGCTCACAGGACGCTTTTGGCCACTCTCATCCTAACCCATCCCCAAGTACACTTTGGATCACCCTTGTTTACACGGGCTAAAAATGGGGCGCTGGCTGGGGCACACAGGCAGGCACCTGTCCCACCCCCTGCGCCGGTTCAGTGCTGAGTCTCTCTCTGGATCGGGGGCTCTAGACACGTCCCAGCATGGTGGAAGCCAAACCATGGGGTGGTCCAGGCAAAGCCCCCGGGCATCGCCCAGGGCCTGCACTCTGCTGTTCAGAGAGGACAGCAGGCCCCGCGCTGCGGCCACCACCAGGGAGCGCCGGAAGGGCTGCCTGGGGCCGGCCGGATGTTCTGCGAAGCTTGCGGCTTTTGGCCCAACCTCACACTCCTTGAGAGGAGTTAAGCAGCGAGGCCGCTGCTGTTCAAACGAAGGCCGGCAGCCTAGCACGTGCTGACCCAGTGTGGCCCGCCAGGGCGCTGAGGCCGGGGCGGGCGCGGGCGCGCTCACCTGGCGAGCCTCTTCGCTCACGGTCTTTCTCAGCATCTGTGCATCTTCCGAGAAAGGCCCATCTGTCTCCACGGCCACCGCGGCGCTCACGCTGCTGGCTTGACTATGCACTGCGTACTGCAATGCAAAGTGGGCGGTCACTGGCGGGCGCCGGGCCGAGCTCCAGTGGCCTCGCCCTGGGGGGCCTGCCCCTCCGCACCCCCGCCTGCAGTGTCCCCGCCCCGCGAGGTGCTGACCTTCCCCGGCCACGCTGGGGTGGGGAGCGAAGCAGGCCCTGGAGGCCGCCTCCACGGCCCGGTCAAGGCCGCCTGTCCTGGACTCCAGCCCTGCCCAGCCCTGCCCAGCACGGCCCTAGCACCGCGCCTCGCTCCCTCTGGAGGCCATCGCTGAGTCTCGCTCCCTTTCACCCCGTTTTCTTGCCCTCCCCCCATGGTGAGCCCCCTTCTTGACTATGCTACACCCACATCCGCCCTGTCTCTGCGAAGTGACAGCTCTCACTTCACTGCAGCCGTGGCAGCCCTGTGGCAACCCCGTGGCAGAGGGCGCTGCAGGCCAGGCCCAGCCCAGGCCACCGCCAGGCCCCCCGGGCTCTGGGTGCATTGAGTCGCGCAGAGTGAGCCCATGGGGTCCAGTCACCCCATGTGACATGGGCGGTTCAAGGGGGCTGGGGCCAGCAAGGACGAGTGCTCAGGGTCCACCTTCTTGGTGGGGTGAGGACAGGCTGCAGGCCGGCGGCAGACCCCAAGGCGCAGTCTCCTGTCACACTATGCCCCGGAACTGAGACCCCCCCCACACCCATGCTGTGCACCCCGCCTCTCAGGCCTGTGTCCGCCTCCTCCTCCGGCCCTGTGAGGGTTTCAGCTTCCCAGCCCGGGCTCCCTGGACGTGACGGGTACAGCAGTCGGCCCCACGCCTGGCCCTCCCAGGCACTGGGGCCGGCCCCACCCTTGCCATAGGGGCCAGCACAGCTTCCAGGAGGCCTGGCCGTCCACTTCCCGCACTGTCCCACCCGGCCGACCTCTGCTCCTCCTCCCAGCACCCACAGGCATGCTGTGCCTGGCCTGCACCCAGTCGCCCCCACGTGGCACCACCAGGCCATATGAGCCGCTGAGCTGCCACTCTGCTCCTGGAGAGAGGGTCCTGAGACGCAAGGCTGCCCGCTGCCCACGCTAGAGGGAGGCATCACGCCAGCACAGCCCCTGCCCACAGCGACGGTGCCACCCACTGGCTTTCCCGACTCCTCGCTCTGCCATGAGCCTCTTCCCAGCGGGGAGGGCGAGTCCCTCGGTTGCGACCCCAGGCGTGGCCTCTGCCCTCTTGCCCAGGCCGTGACACTCACCCAGCCCCCCCTCACACCTCTGCGCACCCTCAGGGAGCAGACTATGGCCCCCGTTGGGCCCAAGGCCCTGGCCACTGTGTCTTGTCCTGGCTTTGGGTCCCCGGAGAGTTCCAGGACTGGGGTGAGGGAGCCGGCACCCATGGGGAGCTGGGGTGGGGCGGGGGTGCTGGTCCTGGGAAGCTCAGTCTGGCAGGACAGACACTACGGCAGGCGGCTGCTATGTTGACCATTTCAGCCTTTGGCTACTAGAGAAAAGGGGGGGTACTTTCTGTGGAGCCAGCCAGCGGCCAGCGGGAGCTGGGCGGGCCTGCCGGGGCGCGGGCTCCTGGCTGAGAAAAGTGCCCCAGGAGCCTGGCCAGGGCCGGCCGGCGAGGGCGCCGAGGGAGGGCAGGGCGTTCCAGGAGAGAAGCCCCACGGCGTAGCTCTGAAGCGCAGCCCGCCCGGGGGGCCGTGCGAGACGTCCCCCTTCGCGCCACCCCGCCACGGTCATGGCGTCAGCGGCGCCCCCCACCCCGGCCTCTACTGGTGGGTCAGGAAGCGCACGGCGGTACGAAGCAGCCCCTGTGCGTGGTGACCAGAGCCAAGCCGAGCACGACGCGGAAAGTGGATGGCGGCGGCCACGAACACTCGCTGCCACGGACGGGCGGGCGCTCTGTGGGCTCCTCCGGCCTGGGCCCGGCCCGAGCCCCGCGACTGCAGAGGCGCAGCACAGCCGGGGGAGCAGCACGGAGCTTCCGGAAGCGCCCAAGCACACGCCCGGGCTCGGTCTCCCTGGCAGTGCAGCTCCCGAGCGAGCCCGGGCCCTCGCCCTCCGCCCCCGAACACATGCTGGCCTCACGGTGTCTCGGAGCCCGAGGCCCGGGGCCCTGCTGCCCAGCGAGGCTCGCCAGGACGCGCTCTCCATCCCACAGACAGGTGAGTGAGGGGCATGCAGACGGACACGTGGGGCCAGACTTGGGGTTCAGATGGGACCCCACCGCACAGGCGGGCGCACCCCCGCATTCAGGCTGTGACGTGTGAGCGAGACGCCAAAGCGAGAGTGACTCGGGCGCCCCGGGCGGATGGGGCCCTGCGGTCAGGGTGCCGACAGGGCCCTTTCCGGCCACAGGGCCCCCGGGCGCTCCGAGGGGAGGCAGGGGCAGCCAGGCCCGCCCCGCCAAACCTGGCCCGACGTGGGTCACGGCCGACACCAGCGTCTTCGGCGGCTGCGCTCGGAGGCAGACGCCCCGGGGCCGCCCCGGAGAGGCCACGCGGGCTCACGGCCGCACCGCGAGCCCTGCGCGGGCACAGGCGGATGCTGCTGGACAAGACGGGTCACCTGTTTCAGAGCCGGCGGCCCGGGGCGTGACCGACTCCCCGGCTTCGGGCTTCTGCTTCTGCCCCCGCGGCAGCCTCAGCAGAGCAACGGTCGGTCACAGCACAGGCCGGCGGGCGCCGGCGGTGACCGTGCCGCCCTCACCAGGTCACACGCGTCTCTCTCAGGAAGTAGACGGCGCCCAGGCGGGCCCACGACCACAGGGGCGCAGCCGTCTGGACACACCCCGCGCCGGGGCCCCGAGTTAGTGCCGCGTGGGGGGCCCGCTTCCGGCGCAGGCAGGGTGGGGGCCGGTCGCTGAGAGGGCCAGTGGGCCGGGAGGCGCCGGTCAGCACGAGGCCGGCGGGGGCTGAGCCGCACCCGCGCCGCTCCTGACCCTCTCGCGAGGGAGCAAATCACGGCTGGGATTCCTTTTTACCACAGCATGCTCACAAAATTAGTTATTTTAAAGAAGGAAAAAAGTCAATCCTGTGGTAAAAATTTTGTGGGGCAAAATAAGTACTTGTACAAAAGTTGAAAAGTGATTTTATTGCAGGATTTCCATATACAATGTTAGTGCAGTCTCTCCCCAGGTAAAGCCACATCCCTGTCTTATAAAATATTCTCGCAATGCCCGGGACGCATTCATGTCACTCTGTTTAGTACCTGGGGGTTTGCTTTGGCTAGATTTTCTATTTTAACCCACGCTTCTTCTCGCTCTTTCATTTTTAGCTTCTCTCTGAAAAACAGCAAAACGTCATTGGTATTAGAGAGCTGTGCTGGGTGCAGAGGCCCAAGGCCGAACGCCACCGCTGTCCCCTGGCCTGCTCCTGCTGCTACACCCGGGCGCGGCTGGCCGGGGCTGGACGGGCCAGTCAGCACGCCACGGCCGCGCTCCCAGGGCTCAAACGCCGGCGGCGGGTGTGGGGCCACGCCCCCTGCTGCTTCTTCCTGGGACGCGGGTCACTGCCCAGCACTGGGGGACCCCCGGGGCCGCCCTCCCTCGAGTGACGCTTTCAGGGCCCCGAGGACACGTAGCCTGGCCTGAGGCCAGGACGGCCGCGCCCGCACCCCACCTCACTTGTCTGCACCCCGTCTTTCTGCTCCGCCTGCTCGCAGTGTAGGCTGCAGGGCCGGGACTGTGTCTGCTCTACTCACTGCTGCTGCCAGGGCCAGAGACCGAGCTGGGGCCCAGCGAGACATGGGGGCTAGCGGGCGCCGACCTTGGCGCCGGCTCACGGTGGTGTGGGACCAGCAAAGAGTAAAACTCGCCACTGGCTGGCCGGACTCAGCACACAGGACCCGAACACGTGACCCTCAGGACCTGGCCGTGTCCGCCGCCCCGGGACACGGATGGTGGGTTCCAGACCCCACGTCTGTGTGTCGGCATGGCAGCCACGCCACGCCGGGTGAGGCGAAGAAGCGCTTCTGCACCCAGCCTGCCTCGGCGCGAGGCCGCGGGCCTGTCCCGGAGCCCCGGGCAGCGGCCCTGCGGCCGCCTCACACTGCAGCGCTGGCTCCATCTGCTGTCTGAGCGGGACATCTCCTTGCCCCCTGCAAGGAGGCTCCCCGGGCGCAGGGCCAGGGCAGCAGCGGCGCGAGGGCGCGACTTACTTCAGTTTCTCTGCTTTGAACTGCTGGGTACAGTCGTCGAAGAGCTTCTGGTTCATCTCCATGAAGAGCTTCAGTGCGTTGTAGATCAAGCCGTGTATCGTCCTGCAAGCGACACCTGGAGTGAGAGCGGCGCCCCGCGAGGTCTGGCTGCCCCGTGCTCTGGTCTGGGGCCCTCGCTGGACCCGCTAGCAGCAGCCAAGAGCCCCGGCTCGGACACTGAGTAAAGCCCGTGGACGCGTGGACAGATGAGATCGAGAGAAGCCTGGCATCGCGAGGAGACGAGGCACCGCCTGACTGCCAACTGCGCCGCGGCAGCTCCGCAGCAGGAGAGCAGCCGCAGTCAACCGACCGGCCGGCGCGCTGCCCGGGCCTCCTGGCCACCGCCCCGGGTGAGCACGCTGCTGTGGGCCGGGATGCGAGCAGCCCCACGCAGTTGATGCCACAGGTGGAGCCGTCCCGCTCGGGTCGGAACCACACCGTCCGCCCAGATGACGTTGGGGCCACGGGAAGAGCGCTCTTTGGGGCAGACAGGACGGGAAAGTCAGCCGCGGCCCCCTCAGGCCTCAGCTCAGGGACAGCACTTTGCGCGACAGGCCGGGAGACGCGCTGCTCCAGCAAGGCCCACTCACGTGTGCCTGGGGGCGCCCGCAGCGGCCCCTCCCCACTCCCAGCACCAGGCAGTGTGAGGCCCGGAGCCTGCCCGCAGCGGCCCCTCCCCACTCCCAGCACCAGGCAGTG